TTCTTAGGTGTTTCCTGTTTCTTAGGTGTTTCCGGTTTCTTAGGTGTTTCCTGTTTCTTAGGTGTTTCCTGTTTCTTAGGCTCATCTAATTTTGCAGATGCTCCCTGCTTCTCAGGTACTTCTGTTTTCTTAGGTGCTTCCGCTTCTTTGGGTGCGTCCGGTGTCTTTGGTACTTCTGGTTTCTTATGTGCTTCCAGTTTTTCGGATTCTCCTGCTGTGCCCGGTGCTTCGTGCTTCTCAGGTACTTCTGGTTTCTTAGGTACCTCTAATATCCCAGATGCTTCCTGCTTGTTAGGTACTTCTGGTTTTTCAGGTACCTTCTGCTTCTTGGGTGTCTCCGGTTTCTTATTTACTTCTGCTTCCTTTTTTTCCGTTTCTGTGGGAGCTTCCTCCTTCTCCTTCTTCTTCCAAATTTTATCCAATAAACATTTCCCTGTCTTCGAGCGGCAGAAACATAGTAACACGCACAAATACATAATTATAAAAAGTATGGGAATTCCAGAAAAGGCAGTGAGCGCAAGAAGAAGATCAGTTAGTGAGCTCAAGGCGGACGGCATGGAGGACTGAATAATGGACATAAAGAATGAATACAGGAGTGTGGACAATACTATAAGTATTGACCATGCTGTTCTCCCCATTTTAAAGCGTTTCAATTTCTGACAACATTCCTTCAGCTTGTTCTGCGCTGTTGCACCCTGTGGCTTCTTCTTTACAGATCCTGGATTCTTTACATGCACCTTGGGTTTAAATTTTCTGCGCATGTCATCGAACAACCTGTTCTTCACCGGACTACCCGTAGACTGACCGTCGTAAAAATTACGTTGACCCCGTGTCGCCACATCCGTTGCATCACTCAACGATACGGTTGTACTAGCATCCGTAATGCCATATTGGCTTGTGCCATTATTCGATGATGTACCTATGGTACTCGCCTAACACAAATGAAAAAAAAAGGGGAATATATGGGATTGTTATGGTATATACAAGGATGTACAGCGTGCGAATACATGGGCGAGCGGTTTATAACAGTCCGACGGGACTCAGGAGCTTATCATAATAAACGTGAAAATACGCAACATGCAGTTGTTCGTATCATACACCATCAGCAAATTGCCATAAACACAAGGCTAAAATGAGTATAGAGAGTTTCATAAGCAGCGTCATTCTGTTTATTCTTTTCCGTTTAGAAAATGGTAGAAGTGGCGATATATTTTTTGTATATATATGAATTCTAGAATTGTTTTCTCTTCCACATGTAGGTGTATAGATTATGCGTGTAATACTTTTGTTCATCGGCTAAAGGTGAACATTGCTACAAGCAATTTTGTGCATGGTTTACTATTCTTACGTAAATACATAAATATGATTTGCATAAATAATTCAGGTGCACCATAATATAAGCGGAGAAGGAAGTACGGAAGAAAACAGGGAAAAACCCATTTTTGGTATATATTATATGATGCAACATTACCTAAAGGGGTCCACATTTATCACAATTTCAGCACGGGCTGATCAATCATGTCGCCGTTTGAACCGTGTAATGGGGCCAAATTGTATACAGCGGATTATGGAATTCCACAAGTGGAATAACACTTTACTGTTTTTAAGTTAGATATAAGGGTGAGGAAGATATGAGCTCAAAACAAATTATACCCCTTACATATAACAACGGGAACACAATTTTGGAGTAACGCCGTGGGCTCAATGGTACATGGTGTCAGTGTTTACGGGGGATTCTTATTGTCACGTATTCGAATAATTATACATGTATATCGTGGCCGTTTTTTATTTATGGGGGTCGTCATTTATATCGTTTTCAGATTTATTACGCGTAGTGATAAATAATAAATGAAGAAATATAGTTTCACATCGTTCCTATGCGTGTATACTCGCCTCTCTAATTTCTTTTTGAAAAGGTGTGAATGGATTTAATTAGGAATGTAACAAATATATATATAAAGGATAAGTATAGTGAAATTGTGGGCTTCGGGCTTAAGGTTTCTGGATTGCGACCTTCCGACATTGCAACGTTTCAGGATTGTAAGGTTTGAGGGTTTAACGTTTCCGCATTGTAAGATTAAGAATTTAACACTTTAAATGCTTTAAGAGCTTTAGGATTTATGGTTCCAAGATTATAATATTTCAGGATTATAAGGTTTCCGATATTGTGAGGTTTCAGGAATATGTGGTTGTGGAATACAGATTTAAGATTCGGGGTTTAAGGCTTAATGTTTCAGGATTGGAAGGTTGCGGACTACGCATTTAAAATTCGGCATTCAAGAATTATTGCTTAAGGATTGTAAGGTTCCGGAATCCGTATTCAGCATTCCGGGTTGCGGAATCAAGATTAAGGATTTACGGTTCGCAGGTGAAGAAGTGTAGGGGGGTTAGGTTTTTAGTGCTTGTTGTTTTCTTTTTTTATTTTCGTTTACATAATAAACGATCATAATTGCAGGTGTATATATATACGAGGCATATGTTATCAATCACATTCATGTACTTTACACTTTGTGTACCCACGTATCTAATATATATGTATCCCACCAGCGCAACGTCAGCTCCCTGGAAAATACATGTATGGGCATTTCTGCACGCACGTCTCTAGTGGTTTTTTTTCTTTTTTTTTTTGGGCTTTGTTTTCTTAAAATTGGTATGGCTTGTTTTTTCTTGTTGGAGTAACTTGCCCAATAGTAAGATGGTTAGGAGTCCCCTTGTTTGGGGGGAACATGTACGGAAGGAAGGACACTTGTTTTTGTCCATTTTCCACTCGGTTATATTTGCGCGTTGTATGTGCGTTGTGTGTTGTGTTTTGTGTGAGTGCCTTGTGGCTGTACTTACTTTCCAAAGGGAATAACCAAGGAGGGCGATGGTGACCAAAGTGACGAAGGCGAGGACGGGAGTAGTGGCGGTAAGGATATCGGCGGTTAGGTTGGGCGCTTGGGGGTCCCCAGTACTGGGTGGAACGTTAGTTCCATCCCATAAACCGTATTTATTTTTTTCTAATGTTGGTGTTGCAAATCCTCCTGCGACATGGTCTAATCCGGGTATAAGTCCTGGTGATAATTCAAGGACTTCGTCGTCCTTCTTTGTAGCAGAGGATGGTTTATCAGGGGACTCCCTTTTAACATCTTTGTCATCTGTATTATTGTTAAGGACAAAGGAATCATTCTGCTTAATACAGTTTGAATTAGCAATACCATAGAAACATTTGTCAGTTGCAATGTCATTCGGATCTGCTGATTGAGAATTTGGGTCTGTCGTAGGATCAGGCTAGACGGGGGAATCAGCTCCCTGGACATTTTGAACTATGTCTCCGGATGCTCCTGTTGATGCTGTTGCTGATGTTGTATCCGGTCCGGGTGCTGTACGCGGTGGTTCTGGTGATCCTAGTCGCTGCTTATCCTTATCCACCGTATCTACCGCAGCACCATTACCTATAGGGCGAAGGGAAAAAGTACAACAAGGGATTCTTATGAAACTGAAGGTTTGTACTTTGGTTGTTGTTTGTCCCCATGGTTGACCACACGGTTGGCCAAACGGTCGGTCGCGCCGTTTGAGGGTTGACCGCTGATGGTTGGTCCCATGCTCGGTTAAGGGTTCAGGGAGTCTGTTCTTTCCGTCTTTTTTTTTTTTTTTT